GGGATCTACACCGAGATGTGCTGGACTTTTATATGGTCTTGATGTTGATTGAAGCATGCATAACCCATTTTTAGTAAAAGTAAATTAAAAGAAAAAAAAATTGTGTTTAAATTTTTTTAATAAACACAAATTTGGGATCAAATGAATTTTCATTTTTGCTATTCGTAACAAAAGTAGAATGCAAGAATTTAAATTTTCTATTAGATTCAATTGATTAAACTGTTTAGACGAAAGTGTTGGTATTTCATGATTGATTAAAATAAAAAAAAATTATATTATTAAGCGATTGCAACTTTTATAAAAATGGTTGTGTCAAATAGAGCCTTAATTGTAAGCATGGAAGTTATCTTAGCTTTGGAGAGATTTTTTTTTTTTTTTCTAAGCATTGAATGATAAGTTCCATGTGATTCGATTATTTATTTTATCTTTAATCATTCCATAGAGTCTCTATTCTCTAGTGTCTAGAGAGATTTGCGTTGCATTATTTACTAGTTACTTATTGTTGTATTTTTTTCTACGATGTGAAAAATGTGATGTCAATCAAGGCATAGCATTATTTATAGAAAAACATTTTTATATAAAAAAGAGAGGAGAAAGATTCAAATGATATACACAAAATATTCTTCTTTGGTGTTAAAAATAAAGTTTGTTGGAGATGAATTACTCTTTTGTGTGAATGTTTCTACACTTAATAAGTTTGTTAGAGAATTTCGTCCAAATGGCCTAATGCCTAGAATTTAAGGCTGAACGAAGAAGGTGCTGCATGTATTTATAAAAGTTGTCATTTTTGTTCTTAAATCCTGCAACCAAACAACCCTTCCCCATTTAGCTGCTACCGGTGCCCAATGTGGAGCCTCCATAACCTCAATGGTGACTTCGCCGCTGACTCTGTTGAGATCCGTGAGGTATGGGACTCTAACCTGGAGGACGAACTCTCTCTCATTTGCTCTATTATTGCCGACTACCCCTTCGTCTCCATGGACACCGAGTTCCCCGCCGTCCTAGTTCCCTCTGCCGTCACTTCTTTGAATTCATTTGTATTCAAATACCAAAATCTCAAACGCAATGTCGACGTCCTCAAACTCATCCAACTCGGCCTCACCTTCTTTGACTCTTCAGGCCACCTCCCTCACTTCGGCTCTCCCCCTCGCCCTTGCATTTGGCAGTTCAATTTCCGCGAGTTTGACGCAGCAAGGGACATCTTCGACCGCAGCCATATTGAGCTTCTTCGTCACAGCGGCATGGACTTAGAAAAGGATCACCGCCTCGGCGTCACCGCCGATCGCTTTTCCGAACTCATCATCTCTTCCGGCGTCGTGCAAAATGATTCTGTCCAATGGATCACTTTCTATAGTTTCTTCGACTTAGGGTATCTTCTCAAAACGTTAACTTGCCGCAATCTACCAGACTCACAGGAGGATTTCTGCCATTCTCTGCGGTTGTATTTTCCTAAAGTCTATGACATTAAGCATTTGATGAAGTTTTGCAACAACCTCCATGGCGGGCTGAACAAAGTCGCAGAGGATCTTGGGGTGGCAAGAGTCGGAACCTACCACCAGGCTGGATTAGATAGTTTGCTCGTTGCTGCCGTCTTCATGAAGTTGAAAGGTCATTTTTTTCATGGATCTGTTGAAAGATACGCTGGATTTTTATGTGGTCTTTGCTGTTGATTGAACATGATCCATTATCAGCAATAATAAATTAGAAGAAAAAATTAACTAGTAGTGAAAATAAATTTGGGTCATCCCCTGTTAACTAAACTAGCTTATTTAAATGTATGTGCACATTTATAATGAATTTATTAAAATTTAAGCATTTTTATATGCAAGTATATAGATTTGCACATAAATTTTGAAAGAAGGATATTTTAAAGAGGACACTTGATTGAACTTTTATTGGAATTTTTTGTTTAAAATTAATTTATTAGGATTTATTGAAATTCTTTAAAAGTAATAAGTAATTATGTTGAAATTAATGAAAAAGATATCATGAGGAAGTGAATGTTTATTTTTATTATTTATTTTCTATTGTCACCTTATTAACATATTATGAAATATATATTAAGCAGTACATGTATATATATATAAACTGAGATCCTTTCCTCCCTTGACTGATGGTAATTAAACTTACATCCCTTCTCCTTGTCAACTTCCTTAATGGTAATTATCATATGACATTTGCATAAATAATATGGTAATTATCAAAATTAAGTTGTTGTTTTTTTTTTTTTGAAATGCATGCCCTTCATTATGTTTGATATCCAAATATGTTGCTCGAGTAAGGCTTCATTTGGGATAATTTTCTTATTATTTCTTAAATAAGCTTTTTAGTACAAAAATAAAAAAATTTGTACTAGAAAGCTTCTTTAAGAGGAAGCCGTCCCAAACAAAGCCTAAATCTTGGGAATGATTGGTTCTTTTTATAAGACAAATTAAGCTATGAGAAAGCACTACTAAGCCCAATAAGGAATATATTTTCTTAGTTTGAAGATTTTTCATGAGCGGTAATAAATTACTTGTCATGTAAGGGATAAAACTTTCAATTAAAACGAATTATATAGGTTTTCTCATAGATTGGTTGTTATATTAACTTTCGTGGTGAAATAGATGAGAAGATACACCCTTATGCTCAAAGGGATTTGGATTAGTATTTATTACAAGTTAACTCATATTTCTATTGTCTCAGGTGGCCATTAATAAATTTGTTGTCAAATTCATAACAATTTAGGATGAAAAAGACTTCATCCTCTATCAAATACATCAAGCACATTCATTAGCTCAAATGCATATCTTTGAGGAACATACAAACTTACATCATAATCATAATATAGTGGCACCAAAGCTACTCAATCCAACAAACTTACATATAAGAAAATTTTATTTTATGCATGTTGGTGGTTTGAAAAGAATATTTGCCTTGCAAGGTGTTAGCCTTATGCTATTACCGTTATTATACACTTC